GCGAGGAATGAGGAACGAGGAGCGCGGAGTGAGGAGCGAGAAGCGCGGAGTGAGGAGCGAGGAGCGCGGAGTGAGGAGCGCGGAGTGAGGAGCGAGTAACGCGGAGTGAGGAATGCGGAGTGAGGAGCGCGGAGTGAGGAGCGCGGAGTGAGGAGCGAGTAACGCGGAGTGAGGAACGCGGAGTGAGGAATGCGGAGTGAGGAGTGTGGAGTGAGGAATGCGGAGTGAGGAGCGAGGAGCGAGGAAGGAGGAATGTGCTTTAAATGCTTTAGATGACGCAGTGAAGTGACGCTCGAGTGATCAAGAATATTCCGATATACAAATAAGCTTTCCTTCGATTCCTCCGTCCTCACTTTCTTCCCTCGCTTCCCACAGGGGTGGAGCTGAGACGCGAGGATGCACACATAAGAAATGAGAAGCACCCATGGTTTAGGCCCCAGATGCAAACTTTAATATTAAACATTGTTTATTACACTTCTCAGCATGCATCCACACCATCTTCTCCATTCTTTATACTACATCCCTCCTTTTCTTAGGTTTATACTTCATTAAAATTAAAATTAAACATGAGTTTGCATACTTTCGTATCCTGCATACTGTCAACCCAATTACTCATCTCTGCTCAACATGGAAATTAGACCATGAACAATTCTTGTTCCTCACTTATACTTCCCTATTTCCTTTGTACACATGAGTCTGACACATTAGTATTATAATAATCTTGAAGGTCCACCCAATCAAATTACATATGCAAATGCCCAGCTAGAACACAGAGTCAGTGGCTGCGTCTGAAGCCGCATACTCACTGACTAGCAGAGGTGGGAATAAGTCACTAAATGCGAGTCTCAAGTCAAGTCCAAGTCTTAACATTGCAAGTCAAAGTCAAGTCAAGTCATTCTGTTTCTAAGGGTCAAGTCAAGTCGCAACTTAGTCATCAAGTCATACCAAGTCACACACAGGCTAGTTTTACACATTTTTTTACTCTGGGACTTTTATTACTTATTTATACACAGAGGGCTGATGGGTTACAAAAATAAATTAATTAACTTGTGTGTAATAAATAAAATATCATTAAGAAGCACTTTAAATGCTCTAAAATAAAAATAAATTAAATGAACAGAAGTAAACAAGAATTAATACAACTTTTCCCATATTGTAAAAAAGAAAACTAAAAGATATTGCATTCTAAAGTAGTACTGTATGCCAAAGTCTGTATGTTCTTACTCTAAATATCCAGGTGATTTGATCCCATAACACAAAATATTATATGGAAATTTTAAGAAAACAAATCTAATCATTTAAATGATTTAAACCCGACTATTTTTTAATACGTGGGTCGTTATAACTGACGTTCTCAACCACTTTCTATATTACTTTCTCCCGCCCGCAACATTTATGTTTTGCCCCTTAATAATTCCTAAAAAGCTGACATCAGTTCATCGCGATCTCACACATCTCTGTTATCAATGAAGCTTTCATAATATCCACACTTTGTTTGTTATAATCAGAGGATTTGCCAGCATACAGAATTCAGCACCGAACAAAACGTCTGTTATGAGCGGTGAGGAGAGTCTATCTTAAATGCTTCTGATTGGCCATTGCGTTCAAGAAATCAACACCAGTGTTGGGGTAGTTACTCAAAAAAAGTAATTAGTTACTAGTTACTTCTGTAAATTGTAATGAGATTACTTTACTAGTTACTGCGTTTGAAAAGTAACTTCACTACTTATTACTTTACTTTCTCATTTCTTAATTTACCGTGTAGATACATGGACAAACATCATAGCCAATGTTCCCTCTAATTTTTTTTCTTGCTGAGCAAAACTTTCTTCTATTGGGCGGACATTTTTCACCACCTGAGCACAAATATTCTTTATACCTGACCTGTACAGCATACGTAGAAACACAATGGGTTCAACATTCAGTTGTAACTTTGAACTTGAATGTGCCATTTCTATTTTATTTGACCCTTGATGTAACTTATTGGTAATAAATCATATTTTCGAAAAACAAGCTGGTAACACTTTATTTTAAGGTGCTTGTAATAAGCAGTAATTAACAGTTAATAAGACACATATATAAGATGCATATATAGGCATACATATAAGCATTAACTACTTCATATAAGGGTTAATTAAAGGTCCATGCCCTGAAGAGATCAGGGAAACTACTCCCTCTTGGGAAGGTCCATTTTTAAGGGCCTGGGAGTTTGTGTTACCATTTATGTTTGTTCGGCTGTTCTAAAAGTGCAATGTATTGATACTTGAGAAATTTATTATTTAATTTAATTTATTTATTATCATTAGTTCATGCTTATATGCATCTTAAGGTCTTATAAGTGTCTTATTAACTGTTAATTACTGCTTATTACAAGCACCTTAAAAAAAGTGTTACCAACAAGCTTATTAACAAATTAAGAAGTCACTAAATGAAGCACATTTTAGGTTACCTGATATTTTTTTACAGTGCTGTTAACTGTAGTCTTTACCAAGAAATCCTTATGAAAAATAATTTTCTAAATCTTCTGCAGGACAGTTCAATTCTTTACAATAATATAATATAGTATGAAAGAAAAGTAAGCTGTTGCACCGAGATGGTTTGGGAAAACCATAAAGTGTTTTTGACAGTCAATTCATTGTGCACAGGAAGCATTAAACCATCAAAGTTAAATGATTGTTTATTGCTTATGAATTTCCAATATTTTCTTTAGCAGGGGGTTTCAAACTTTTTAATGGCAAGGAGCCCTAAACAATACCCTTGTGAGATTCTTTATTTAGGCTTATAATATAATAAAATATAGGCATAATATAATATAAAAAACGAATTGAAGTATTCGAAGTGATATAATATATCAGTTTAAATGCTTCAATTTGTTTACATATTATATTATTATAATATGAAAACAAACTGAAGCATTCAAATAGATCTAATAGCTAAATATTTTCAAGAAAAGTGAATGTGAACTCTTTTATAATCTAACCATCCCTGAAAAACATCTATTTAAACTAATGATGTATTGTTGCACGCGGGTGGGTGTGTAATTGTTACCGTTCTGTGTCCATCAACCGTTATTTCCACCACTTTAATCAAACCACTCTTCTTTAAAACATTATGAGGGAAGTAGATAGATACCACAGAAAACCTCGTGCTTGAAAACTATCAAAACCACTTACTTCTCGCTGTGCAACTTGAAGTGACGAATGAAATTTGAAGTTGTGGCCAATGAATCACTTATCTCTGCAGATATTACACACACCCGTTCTTTTCTTGGCCATGTACGCATAATCTCTAAACCCAAACTTTATTATCCTCGGGGCTGGCATCCGCTGGGGCTGGTGTTGTTGTTGCTGTGTCCATGTTGTCCGCGGAGGGATCTGCTGTTTTGGCCAACACGGTCTCACCCCTATTCGTCACATACTGCCGTTTGGTCATTTCCCCCTCACGTCCATAAGCCGACGTTGAGGGTACCCCCTATTCGTCGCTTGATAACGTAGAGGGTCGTCCGATAGATTTGAGTGCAAATCCCTCATCTTTGAATTTTGACGAAATGGGGTTATCCATCCAGCGGTTTGCCTGCGCTGGAAATTATGGTTTCAGGCGATTAATTTTATGCTGCAAATGTGTATTTTGCAGTAGCGTGCGGCGCATATTGTTATAATTATTCATTGGTGACCATACATTTTCGTGGGGCAGAAACCATTGTCTAAATCGCTATGACAACTTTTTTCTCTTTTTTTATATAATTTTGGGCTACATTAAAACGACATAATTGCAGGACTGCATAGGCCTATTTGCTGTAGGCTTAAAAAATGCCTTAATTTAGGTGGGGTATTTTATAATTGTCGATGGTATTTCAATTTGCAATGGCTTTAGTGAGCCTACAACAGTATAGCCTACAACTTTGCTTTTTTTGCACAAAAAAAATAGCCTACTTTTATAGAACTTTCATCTCAATACTGATTATGAGGTTGTGATAGTCTACTGCAGAAATGTTAATTGCTTAATATGGACATATCCTTTGGCAAAGAGATGGATGCATTCTGGGAAGTGATGTGTTTAAATGTAATGGCTACATACACCCGTGTTTCTTTCACTTAGACATTTACGCTGACCCCTTTAAAATTTTGAGCAAGTATATAAAATATTAAGACTGTACTTTTTCATTATGATTGATATTTTGGCGCAATTTTGTGCAACACGTCACTGTGTGCGACCATCGCAGAAACCATTGCCCAGCGCGATTCCACCACGGTAAGTCGCTTACAACAGTCTAAAAAGCAATATAAATGAATAAGCATTTACACGTCCAAAATTAATAAAATTACGAGTTTAATAAAATAAAATAAAAATGATGTAGGCCTATGGCTATACATATATACACACCATGTTTTTGTGTGAAATACTCATAAATAATATTATATGATTATTGGGGGATATATTTATATATATATATAAAAGTTTAAGTCTGGCAAGGCAAAGTTTATACAAGTACCCTGATCATGTTATTCCTGTTTGTTTATCCATTTGAATTAAGGCAGAACAAGGATGTGTTCAAAATATCATGAACCCTTGCTCACACAATGACCTTTTTTATAATTGTGATTTCATGAATGAACAAGAGCAGCATTTACTTAACTTCTTAGCCTAGTAGTTATTCTTAGCCTAGTAGCCTAGTTATTCATATTGTAATATGTAGTTTGGTGATCTATTCTTTTTTGATTTGTTCTTCTCTTTCTCTACAGGTTCCTTAATCCCTGTCCTTTAAAAAAAAAACAGCACCTCATTACATCGAGAAAAAAAAGGCACTTTTAAGAGCCACATTTGTCTTGTATCTTTACTCTCTCTACTGTTGTATTGTGTTCTCTCTCTCTCTCTCTCTTGCTGTCTTACTGTCTCTCCCTCCCCCCCTCTTCCTCCCTCCCCCCTCCCCCCTCTTCCTCCCTCCCCCTCCCCCCTCCCCCCTCTTCCTCCCTCCCCTCTGAGTGAGGTTTTTGTTTGTTTGTTTGTTTTGTCTTTTTTTGTCCCTGTGTGTTTATAGTGTGTTTATATTTTGTGCCATGTCTGATCCTGAGATGGACCGTCTCCTGAATGAGATGAGTGACCTTGTCGATCAGGCTGAACATCAAGCTCACCTCCAACAGCTCATTAGCATGCACCAGGAAGCAGAACCATCCACCAGTCAGCCTTCCACCAGTAATCCATCCACCAGTCGGTCATCAAACAGCAAGCAAGATGTTAGGTGGATTAAGAGGGACAGTGATGGAAACATTATTTACGGCAGGCCCAGATCATCCCGGAAACAAGCAGGTATGATTTTTTTTTACATTCATGTTAATTAAAATGTAGACTCCAGATCTAGTTTTGCATCTTGGAATGGTATACAATATGATCTCAAGTCATGGGTCTGAATTAGAACATATCTGAGGTTATTATTACGTACCTGTGCCTGGCATCAGGTAAAGTTTGTGTCATTGAGTGTAAAAAGCAACAGCTTTTTTGCTACAGCAGGTCCCAGTCACAGCCAGAGTCGAAAGACTGGTGTCTCTCATGTCAGGGCTCCGGAAACCAGTGCGGAAATGACCAGTGACTTTCTTTCCGTTACTGCAGGTGTGTTATTTATTTTGACTTCACTGGTTCAAAACTGTATGTTCATTTATTATAAAATGGCCATTGTTCAATGCTATTCTCTTTTGTTAACATAAACTACTGTTTTTAAATATTTTGCATTGTTTTAACAGAGTCCTTCCTTCAAGAGCTTAAAAGCTCACTGGGTGAGGACATACATGAGGATGAAACGGCACTTCAGGCCTCAACAGACTGGTCGACCCGAAAGAGCCTCATATCAGGGTGGTGGGAGAAAGAGAGACCCCGACTGGTCAACACCATGGTGGCTCGACAACATGCGGCAACTCGGATCTGCCAACATTGTGGAAATGGTCCAGCCGTTATCCGTTGTTCTGACTGCCGACCACACCCATTCCTCTGTCAGACTGATCTCATGAAATGGCGTATGTATGACACGCCAATTCGTATTTCCATTTTTGGCGTGCTATCAACACGCATAATCGCTTTTCAGCGTGTTTATCAACGCCTTTGACTTAACGTTATATTACTGTATTATGTATATATAAATATATGACCTACCCCAACCCCGTCCCTAAACCTACCCGTCACTGGGGTTAATACCATTTATGAGTCTTCTCCTACCATCCTAGGAAAAGAAATATCGCTCCACAGATGTAGATATAGATTTTGCTTCGTTTCGCTCGGACATTTAACGGCGTAGACATACACGCGGAATCACTCGGACATTTAATGGCGTAGACATACACGCAAAAGATTTCGGCGTGGACATACACGCGGATATTTCAAAATGCGTATAGATAACACGCCACTTGAATTGAAAGTGGCGTGTATGTTTACGCAAAGTCATGATGTCATGTTGCCTCTGTGGCCAGTGTGATGTCAGGGTCCATCGAGGTCAAGTGTTCCACAACAGGGATTCGATGACACATGCATTTTTTCATCCAGTGCCTCCCACAACTTGTGTTGTGGAGAGAGTTCTCACCCAGTGTGGTAAGTTTTTAAAAGTCACATTCTTAGACTTGACTGAAAAACGAAATACTGTTTTCTGATAGGTCGATGAAGCCGTCAAGTACATCTTGTTTAAAATAGTTGCCAGTAAATAAATGTTATTCTTTAATTCTCATCCATGTGTTTTTTTTTTTTTTTTTAGAGCGTATTGTACCTTTGGAGATGCCAGAGACAATATGCGGTTGTCTACGAGTATCGTCCAGTGTCATCGCAGGACAGTCCATAGTTGTGGTTACAATGAATGGTAAGAAGAACTTTATGGGTTTGGGTGGGGGTCACTTCTGTAGAAGTGGCTGCAGAATTTCACCCACAGCTATTTGCTGATCACACCTCGTATATACTCCCTCTCACAGGCCTGATAGCGCTCCGGCGCCACGCCGGATTTCCGGCGTACAGACGTGTCTGCAAAAAAAAAAAAAAAAAAAAAAAAAATCAGGTTTGCGTTCGCGGATCTGACAATTCCCAAGATCTGAGAGGCGCTTTCACTAAACCACACCAGTGTACTTCAGCCGCAGACCTGCCAACATGTACGCATTTTGCGTAGCGGCCACGCATTTTGACCTCAAAGTAGGCTACCCTGGTACGATTTGTCAATCTACGCAAAAACCTGGTGACGCCTCTGTGCACGCGCTGTCCTCAAATCAAGCAACAGCTAAAGAAGCGGAGTTCGACCAATCATAGCGCTGGGTTCATTCCCCAAATAGCAAGCGGGGATGATTGACAGATGCGTAAGGCCTATCATTAATAAGAGACTGAAAATCGACAGCAATAAAGAATCCCGCTCGATCCGCTTCCACTCCCGCGACCCGCCGTCTGACTGAGTTCATAAGCGAGGACAGTAGTCGCGGTACTTCTGACTCCTGAAGGGAAACGGGCTGGGGTGGATGTGGAAATTTGAAGTATTGTATTGAGTTAACTTAATCTGGATTCGATGATCACACGGGAGTGATCGCATGGATTATTTTAAAATACTCCGTCATTCATGGTCACTCAGATAAGAGGAAAACATCATTCAGCCATGCAAATTATAAAATGCTTAAGAATTGATTAAAAATACATGTAAATAAAATTTAAATCGCTATGGCTAGTGATTATGAAAGTGCTGTGATTTGTGGATTAAGTTACTGCTAGCCTAAGCGCGAGTCTGCAAACAGGCGTTTATTTATTCATTCTCAGTGTTGAGAAACGTAGCCTGCATGTGTTACGTTATTGTGTTAATAATAACTAAAGTACCTAATTATGTTACAGAATTATTTTGTATGAAAAGCACGTCAGTTACTTATGGATTAAAAAGTACCGTTGTATCAGTGCTGCGCGAGCTCTCTCTCACAAACACAGACCACGCGCACAGAAGGAGAAGATAGCCTAATTGTAAAATGAAAATTGACGGGCTAAGTTTAAATTTTGTTCTTGGTTGTGTGTTTTTTCCTGTCAAAATGTCAGAAAGCATTTTTTTATCCATCCGTGTTTTTAAAATTCGTTAAATGACGTACATTTTACTATTAACACAGCCCTATGTCGGATTCGTCTAACAACTTATACTTGATATTCTTTTTAGAATAAGTGATTCGTTTTGCTATTATTGGTCCTGTGACAGGACTCCTGTCTATTCATTGTCAACTATTTTCTATAAGTATGATTGTATTGGCTAACGTTTATTCAGCTAATGCGTGTCCTGTTTAAAATATGCCATGTATTTCAAATGCAAAGACAACACGTCAGAAATAAAAAGCCCTTTTTTTCTTTCATTTTATCAAGTATCATATTTGGATATTGGAATAATAAATTAAGTAGAACTATCTTAAATGTACACATCTATTTTTTTATTATTATTATTATTTTTTTTACTGTTTTCTAGGGGTTTCTTAATTTTAGACTAGTTGACCAGCACACATTATTTTGCAATGCAATAGCCTATTAATCATGAATAAAATATATTGCAGTGCAGTGCAAGTGAAATTTAGGATTTGGGTCGAATAAAAAAAAACTTTAGAAGTCAAAACTAGAATAATGAAGATAGGCATGTGTTTGTGTGTGTCTTGCATTCTCAAAAAATAATGACAAAAATATATGACTCGTCACTTTGTGTCAGAAATTAGCGGAGGATAAACTTTCCCTTACGCATCTGTCCCAGGGAAAAAAGTTCAGGCTCAGGATTTTTTTCTACTATCACCCCTGCTCTCACTTTTCGTCACAATTATGCACATATATGTTACATTCATACATTTTACATTGTGCAATACATTTTCTTTATCATGGCTGGAAATCCAGAGGTGTCAATAGGTTGTGTGTTGATTAGATTGGCTGGGCCCACCTATGTGGAGGAAAACAATTAACCTTTGTTTGAACACAGTTAATTTGCCTGACAAAAGTGTGACTTCCAATAGAGTGCCTTACAAAATGTTTGTAGAAGTGTCCTCCTGATCCATCCTTAGTCAAAGGTTCCCATTTCAGTTGTCAGAATGACACAGTTTGGTCTGTCAGAATTAACTTTGTGTATATATTTCCTTCTTTTTCCAGGGCGATATGATCTCAGATACAGACAGACAGACTGACAAAGATGGGTAAGACTGATAAGTAGACAAAGACAGACAGGGAGGAAAGAAAGAGCAATAGATAAAGACTGTGAGATAGATAAAGATTGAAGAGATGGACAGAAATATAGATAGTGAGAGAACAGAGAGGATGTAAGATATAGAAAATAATGACGAGATAGAGGTTGGCTCTTAAAAGTGCCTTTGGGTTTTGAAAATCAGGTTCGGATAGGTTCGACAGGTGAAATGTTTGACAGGATCTGCAGGGAGAACAACAGAAAATGTTAGTTATGTAGTGTTATGTTGATATAAGATTTAAAAAGTGTACCCTAATATAGTGAGTGATTCCCATTTTCTTATAAATGCTTAGGATAAATAAATACAGATTCACGTTGTTCCTATTTCCTGTGCTACTTTTTTAATGGCGCATAACATGTGTCTAGGGTTCGCCATCCCAGATGTAAAGGCAGCGTTATGTGCGGTATAACGTTAGACCAAGTGATAATATTGTTATTACTGACACATTACAGTGACATTGTGTGTGAACCACGATGATCGAGAGAAAATTACATCATCTAGATGTCCCCAATTACTATTCCCCCAATACATTCTCAATAAGCAAGACGTCCAAAATAAAATGAGTATTTCCACATAAAAAAACATGTTGTGATACATATATATATTTTTTTTATATATATCACAACATGTTTTTTTTATGTAAATACTCACTTACATACACACACACACATCTAGAACCTATATCTAGGCCTAGAAAACACGTAATTTTATTAATTTTGTACGTGTAAATGCTTATGAATTCATTTTGCTTATTAGAGTATTGTAAGCGACTTACCGTGGTGGAATCGCGCTGGGCAATGGTTTCTGCGATGGTCGCACACAGTGACGTATAGCACAAAATTGCGCCAAAATATCAATCATAATTAAAAAGTACAGTCTTAATATTTTATATCCGTGCTAAAAATTGTAAAGGGGTCAGCGTAAATGTCCAAGTGAAGGAAACACGAGTTTGTTCACTTTATAAAAGCCATTACGTTTAAACACATATCACTTCCCAGAATGCATCCATCTCTTTGCCAAAGGATATGTCCATATAAAGCAATATAAACATTTCTGCAGTGGGCTATATAATTAATTTATTACAACTTCATAATCAGTATTGAGATGAAAGTTCTATAAAAGTAGGCTATTCTGTGTTTTATTTTTTTGGCGCAAAAAAAAAAGCAAAGTAGGCTCACTATAAGCCATTGCAAATTGAAATACCGTCGACAATTATAAAATATCCCACAATAAATTAAGGCATGTTTTAAGCATATAGAAAATATGCAGTCCTGTAATTATGCAATTTTAATGTAGCCCAAAATTATATAAAAAAGAGAGGAAAAAGAGGGATTTGCACTCAAATCTATCGGACGGCCCTCTCCGTTGTCAAGTGACGAATAGGGGGTACCCTCAACGTGGGCTTTGGACGTGAGGGGGAAATGACCAAACGGCATAGCCTATGTGACGAATAGGGGTGAGACCATGTTGCAAAGAAAGACGTCGTGCAGGCACGGAAAATACGTCCCTTTGAAATACATTATATTGAAATTCGTGTTGTGTGGCACGAAAAAAAGATGGAAATTCGTGCTGAAGGACACGAATCAATTCGTGTTGAGTAGCCAACCAAATATAAAGCAATACAACAATGATTAAAATCTCCTGATTAAATGTTGAGTAATGTTTACAAAATGAATAACAATTGTGAAAAAACAATAGTGTTCTCTCGGAAGAAAGACATGGTGAAGGCACGAAAAATACGTCCCATTGAAATACATTGAAAGTCGTGCTGAGTGGCACGAAAAAAAAGAAGGATATTTGTGCCCTTTGGACACCAATAAATAGATTAATGTTGAGTAGCCTACCGAATATAAAGCAATAAAAACGAGGATTAAAATCTATTGATTAAATGTTGAGTAATGTAGCTCTTAAAGTGTGCAAAATGAATAACAATTGAGAAAAAAACAATTCTGTGCTCTCGAAAGAAAAACGTGGTGCAGGCACGAAAAATACGTCCCATTGAAATACATTAGATTGAAAGCCGTGCTGAGTGACACGAAAAAATGGGGGAAATCGTGTCCATGAACACGAATCAATAGATTAAATTTCGTGACTATGTCACGAACTGCCGTGAGACTGGGTTGGGTTGGCTGACTAGGTACTTCATTTCAATAATTACATATTTAACGAGCGCTAAAAGAGTAGGTCCTATAAAGCCTGATCCAGACATCATCCGCCATGTTGATGTTATCATGTGACCTTCGACGTTATCACAAGCGCAACTACTTAAAAGATATGAGCGACAGTCTCCATTTTCGAGGGTCT